ACACACACACACACACACACACACACACACACACACACACACACACACACACACACACACACACACACACCTGACCAATTCCGTACAGGAAACACTGAACTGGTTCTCAATTGTTGTGACACTAAAAGTGTTTCTTTTGTTTTGTGATTTAACAACTTCTAATCAGAAAAAGGACAAACTCATCCAGAACTGTTACACTGCTCAAATGTTGGGTAAGTGCCCAAAATATCAACCTGCAGCAAGATATAGGTTAATTATTAATTTTACTATAATTACTATGGTAACTCACAATATCAACCTAYTGCCAGGGAAAATACAGGTACCCAGTCATTAACTGGGTGATAAACACATAGCCTGCTTTAATCTTGAGCCAGGCTGAGCTGTGATAAATTCTGAATATAAAGCATTATTCTTGGCCACATATCATATTTAGCAAAATTTTAATGAGTTATTTTGTGTTTTTGTTTTAATGGTGATGAATGCATTTGTTATTGTGATTTGTAACCTTCTGCATGGTGTATGTTATTGTTAATAAACTGTATACAGTTATATAGACATATTCAAGATAGACTGTACTACAGTATATAACTGTAATATTATGTGGTCAAAATTATCTGTAGACAGCAAATAYGATACACAGCCAAGATCACTGTAAACAACATAAACTTGTACTTTAATAGTTATGAAGAGTGGTCCAACTGGTTCACTCAATTGCTTGTTAAGGTAGCAGCCAATCAGAGCCAAATGTGTGCAGAGATGGTGCAGGATGACAGCTGCAGAGCTCAGCACAGAGAGGACAGACAGTGTTATGACAGAGTTGTTGGTTTTGTGTGCRTGCGTGCAAGTTACCAGTAAGTGATTTGGGTTTCTATTTCTTCTTATTTAGGTTGTTTGTAAGAGCGTGGATGGTTTGAAATATTGCTGCACATGTTGTGACGATCACGGTGGTGCAGTTTTGCTGCCTTTGATTAATGCCATTGTGTTGCTTACAGGATGAATATTACATTATTTAGTAGTTCCAAATGTTATTTTCTTGTGTTTTTTTATTTTTACTTCCATATTTGAATATTGGCAGAGTGTCTCAGCTATTAATGTTAATAATATAAGTTGTAGCGTAAATTACTGTAGGTAACTGGATGAAGGTCACACTTTAATTTCTGGTACATATTTATTTTGGGAATATTTACATCTAAAATTCAAATTATTATCATTTTTTATTGTTATAATCCTTTTGGTTGTTTATTTGAGAGACTTGTAATCATCCAATTTTTTCTGTGTATGGTTTCTGTTACAGAATCACACTCCTATGCACACTTATGTACTGTATATTGTCTTTAAGAAAATAAAGAAGAAAGACATTTATAGGACATCTTTATTGTGCATTCCAACAGATGCTCACTAGTGGTCACAAACCAGTAAACTATTTCAGCAACAAACACTAATATTAGACCTCAGTGCAACCATCTGAAGTTTTCTTTATTCCATCCATTTTGCATTTTCCATATCTGACTGCGATCATTACTGCACGTTATTTTCACTTTCGTTCAGATTACACAACAGCACTGGATGATGCCCCCGGACTTTAACCTTCCACGCTTC